ATAATCCCTTATCCTTATCTTGTCCCTCCCCTCTTCCCTCTCCCTACTGATAACCACTAGCTTGTTCTCAATATCTGTCGGCCTGTTTCTGTTTTGTTATATTTGTTCATTTGTTTCTTATTACATTTTAAATCTTTTGATATCACGTAGCTTCTTTGCTGATTTAACAAATAACTATTGCTCTATTACAGTAAAATTTCCTGAACTTAAGTCTTGGTAAGGAAATAATGTTAATCTTCAAAAAACATCATTGTTGGGGACTTCCCTGGAGGTCCAGTGGTTAAGACTCCACACTTCCAATGCAAGGGGCGTGAGTTCGATCCCTGGTCGGGGAACTGAAATCCCACATGCCGTGCAGTGCGGTCAAAAAAAAAAAAAAAAATTGTCAAATGGAGTGATGATGTAGGAAAGTAGGTATTATGCCTTCACAAAACCTTGTTCTATAAATACCAACCTTTTGCCGATTCTTTATCATTTAGCTCCAAATTTGCCATCCAGTTCCAACTGAATTCCATGAACCTGGTTACCAGCTAAATCAAAGGCTTGGAGGAAAGTGAAACAGGGAGGAGGTTGGCCTAGCTTTTCGTTCATTCATTCATTCAACAGTTACTGCCCCCTCCTCCCTGCCAGGCCCTCTACTGGGCTCTGAGGCCAAGCAGTGACCTCAGAATGGGCCCTGCCTTCAAGGAGCTCACAGCCAAGTCAGAGTTAACAGACAGAGGGGGTGCACACACAGAGGCGTTGCTTGATTGCCCATCTCCCCAGACTGTCTACAGACCGCGTTTGTCTTACTCACTTCTCTATCCTCCATGCCTAGCACAGTGCCTGGCCACATTTTAGGTGCTCAATGTTTGCTGAATGAATGCAAAGGCTTCATGGAGGAGGTGGCACTGTCCTGGGGCTTGGACACTGGACAGGCTATTGACAGGGGAAGACGGGGAGAGGGGACACTCCCTCAAGAGGAAGGATCATTTTAGGAAGATCATTCTGGCTGCTGTGTGGAGGACAATGGTTCTGGGGGAGATGCGGGGGACAGGAAGACCAGCAAGGAGGCTGGTACAGGGCCGAGGAGAGAGAGGGTTGTGGCCTGGAGTGGGGACAGAAAAGGCCCAAAGGGGGATTCTGAAGGGAGGGGCAAGACATGGGGAGCGCAGAGCACGAGAGGGCAGGAGTCACAGGTGCATCCAGCTGTCTGGGGGAGGGGGCAGGCTGGAGAGGCCTTGACAGGAAGTTAAGGTCTGTTGAACAAAATTGTAGGGCAGAAGGAACTTCCAGATCCCTCAAGTCAGAGCTCAGCTCTGCTGTCATTTCTCCCACCTGGGACGGAGCTGGGGGCGGTGGTGGAGCAGTCCTGTGGGTCCAGGGGAAGGGAAGAGAACTCAGCTCCATGTGAATAAGGCCCTGCCTCACCTTCTCCTGTTTTCTGGGGCCCTGAGGGGGAGAGGGTTGGCTACCACGACTTTGTCAATGCCCAGACCTGGCATGAAGTTTACTGGAGGGTGAAGTCCGTCCAAAAACAGACCTTCTGATTCTTCCTCAGCAGCACACATCACACGCCATGGATGGCAGGACCTCCTCCTTTCTTATTATATTTTATTTTTCTCGGGGTATAACATACATAAAGTACGTAAAGTCCTCTAATCTTAAGGTACAACTTGAATTTTTGCCCATGTAATTACCAACCAGACTAAGATATGGACCTTTTCCAGCACCCCAGAAAAGTCCCTATTGCTCTTCCCCCATCTCTATCTCCCCCTCCCCCAGCCCCCTCCGACCCAGGTGGCTTCTGATTTCTAGAACCATAGATTAGTTTTGCCTGCCCTTGAACCTTCTGTGAATGGAATCATACAATATGTACTGTTTCTGTGTCTGGACTCTTTTAGTCCACATACCATATGTGAGTATAATCTATAGTGTCATGTGTCAGCAATTTGTACTTTTTTTTCTTATGCCATGCCGGACGGCTTGCGGGTTCTCATTTCCCTGACCAGGGATTGAACCCGGACCACGGCAGTGAAAGCCCAGAATCTGAAACACTAGTCCACCAGGGAACTCCCAGCAATTTGTACTTTTATATGTAAAACATAGTAGTCCATTGGATGGACATGCCGTATTTTGTTTATCCATTCTCCTGTTGATGAACATTGGGCTATATCCATGTTGAGCTCTGAGTAAATCTGCTATGAAAATCCTTGCCCAAGTCTGCTTGTAATAGCCACTTATTTCTCCTGGAATGAAAAGCTAAGAGTGGAAATTCTAGTCACAGCGTAAGTGTCTGTTTACATTTAGTGGAAACTGCCAGTTTTCTGAAGTGGTTGTACCAGTTTCCTCTCATGGGCAGTGTGCAAGAATTTCCACATCCTTGCCAACGCCCAGCCTTTCTCTTTTCTAAACAAGAGTTTCCACTGTGAGACTCCTCTTTTCCTCCAGTGTTGGATATTGGGTGTGCCTGGTATGAGTGCGTAGATCCCTCAGCCCAGAAGCAGCAAGACAGAGGTCACATCTAGTTTGTTTGAGTCTCAGCTACAGGAGGAATGGTCATCTCCTTGATGTGGATGAGACCCCAGGAACTGGGGTGGCAATCTTATGACCACGAGCATGAAACCAACATGAGGACAGCACAGCAGAGATGAAATGAACCTAAGAGATGGAATGTTTGTGATGACGTGGTCAAGCCACTCAACTAACCTGCCACTGAGTGGCAGGGTATATTTATTTTTTTAAGCCAAGTGATTTAGGGTCTTGTTTTTGGAACTTGAATCATAAAGGATACAGTCCCTAAGCCCCCCCTTGTAACCAGACCGAATGGTGCCATTTCTGTCCTCCATAGCAGTCATCTCCACTGAGCATTCTTTCCTTCCTGAAACCTCCTCTCTGGGATCCCATGCTCACCTGGTCCTCCTCCTACCCCACGGGTCACTGCTTCTCAGCCTCCTTTCCTGGCTCTTCCTCTGCCTACTTATTAATCTACCTTCACTTTCTTAGGACCTCATCCAGCACCATGATGTGTGTACTGTGTGCTGATGTTACTGAAATATGTATCTCCAGCCCAGATCTCTCTTCTGAGCACCAGTCTCATATAAAGCGGCCTATTGACCCTCTCCACCCAACCATTGCCCAGGCTTTTCAAACTTACCTTCTTAGCCAAACTCTTGATCTTCCCCCTCAATTTGAGCCTGCTGCAGGCTTTACCACCTTAGTCAAGGGCTCTTTCATTCTTTCATACTCAAGGCAAAGATCTAGGTGTCTTTGCCAATGCCTCAACACCCACCCACATTCCATCTTACATTCTCTACTTCTCCACCTTCCAGGGTCACCATTCCTTTGCACTTGGAAACCTACAACAGCCTTCTGGCTGGTCTCCCCACACCCGCTCGAAAGTGCTTTCCAAGCCATGTAGGGTGGACTTTCAGAGACCCAAACCTGGTATCATTCCCCTGATGAAAATGATAAAAAGATAAAGATAAAATCCAAATTCATTAGGTAGCACTACCTGCCCTACTTGCTCCTTCCTCACCCTCAGCTGCTGCTTCCCACCTCCACATCTGGGACAAGTGGTTCTTTCTGCCTACAACATTTCCCCTCTCACTCTTGCCCTACAAAACTATCTTTGGTTTTTAAGCCTAAATGCCAGCTTCCCAAGGAGTTTCCACCCTTACCCTTCCCACTACATGAGGGTTCCATTAATTTTTTTTTTTGGCCAGACTGCGCAGCCTTCAAGATCTTAATTTCCCAACCAGGGATCGAACCCGCGCGTTCGGCAGTGAGAACATGGAGTCCTAACCACCAAACTGCCAGGGAATTCCCCTCCATTAATTTTTCATAGCACTCTTCATATTCCCCCACAGCATTTCCCATCATGCATAATTATATATTGATTTGATTTAAATTATTAACAGATAGTGATCATTTGATGATTAAAAAAATTTATTTTATTGACGTATAGTTGCTTTACAATGTTGTGTTAATTTCTGCTGTACAGCAAAGTGATTCAGTTATACCTATATATACATTTCTTTTTCATATTCTCTTCCATTACGGTGTATCACAGGATATTGAACACAGTTCCCTGTGCTATACAGTGGGACCTTGTTTATCCATTCTATATACAGTATAATAGTTTGCATCTGCTAATCCCCAGCTCCCAATCCATCCCTCCCCCACCCCCTCCGCCTTGGCAACCACAAGTCTGTTCTCTATGAGTCTGTTTCGTACATATGTTCATTTGTGTCATATTTTAGATTGCACATATAAGTAATCTGATGATTGCTTTTCCACCCCTCCCCCACTCTCCCCCAGTAGCCGGGCATCTCCTTGAATTAGAACAGCGCCTATTTCACGCTCCATTCTATCCTCTTGCCTTTAGCACTGCATTTACACACAGTAAGCGCTCAAGGAATGTGCTTATTTAGCTAATAAATCGATACATTGACTCATTTAATCCCTATAACAACCCTGTGAAGTAGGCATTTCATCAGATTCGGGGAAGCTAACAGTCGGGGTGGGCAAGTGGCTCGCCTAAAGTACAGGGCAAGAAGAAGAGTCAGGTCCTGACCCAAGTCAAATCCTAAATTCTGAGCCGGAATATTTCCGCTCCTGATCTTTGGCCTTGGTAAAGGGGCCAGGGAGGAGGCGGACTTTGAGCCACGGGAACGTTTTCACAGATTACACGGGTCATCCACGAGGACCAAAGCGAACAATCGTTCACCTACAGAGACTAGGATACGCCCCCTCTGCTCTAAATGTGTAAAGATCACAATCCACTGCATATGTATGAGGGGACCAAGGCGGGGGGGCGTGATTCGGAGCTGTCCTGGATGCGCCTGATCAAAAATTCTTCGGATTTGAAGACTTCAGAACCCCCAGATTTCTGAACACATTAGCAAAAAGTCTTCAGATGGTCATCTGTGGCACACGTTAGGAGGATATCGGGCATAGAAGACCCCCCCAATTTAGGTCGTATTATCAGGCATCTGCCGTAGGCAGCCCGACCCCAGAAGGGGTCCTCGGTCGGCTCGACTAGAAGACGAAGGGGGCGTCTCCCCTGCTTCCTGCGGCATCGGAGGCGAGTTGAGGTGGTGGCAGGCTGCGGCTACGAAGGCGTCAGCGGTGGCGGCGGCGCCATGGCAGGGCTCGCAGGTACCGTGGCGTCGGCCTCTTGGGGGCGGGATGAGAGGCCCTTAATGCGGCCGCGCCGCCATGTTGTCCCTTCGGGGTCACCTTAGGCGTCGTCCGGTCCCTCTCTGGGGTTTTCCTTCCGCGCACCCTGAGGGCCGCCCCTGTCCGGTGTCACGTGATTGCCCTGTTTGGCCCCCCAGCCTGGGCCTTGGGGGGTCTCTTCGTGGCCCGAGGGCAGGGCACTGGACTCCTGGGTTCTCGTTCAGGCCTCCAAGGTCAGCACTCGCCTGTCTGCTTCTGGGATGGGGCAGGCAGAGCTGGGGAGCTCGGGGCTGGGGGTGCGACAACCTTTTCTCCGGCCCCGGTGCACGTGGCAGGGGGCCCAGCTTCTGAGATGCCTGTCACTCTGTCCCCGCCACTTAAGTTACCTTTTTTTTTTTTTTTTTAAACCAGAAGGGGCGTGGGGGAGAGGAGAGAAAAGGGTCTCCCTCCCCGGGTCCCCGCCTTGGTGTCTGGGGTGATAGGTTGACGCTCTGCTTTGGGTCGCGGGTGCTTCTTACTCTCTCTAATTTTACACCAAGTCCGGACACCCATTCCCTTTCCTACAGTATATGTGGGGAGTGGCCCTCAAGGGCAGCTGAAGGAATGGGTTGCCTGGCACACTAATGGCCTGGAGAGAAGAATGGGGGATGGGGGACAGTTGCTTTTTCCTTCCCTCTTCCACACCTTATTTAATTTCCTTCCAGGCCTCCGTGTCCCTTTTCAACGCTAAATGTTGGGGCAGACTGGGGTCTGTCCTGGGAAAGAAACGGCCTTTCTGTTTATAGGTTCGGATCATGTTTTATCCCTTTCAGGGAACTGGTGTTTTGGGGACAGCTTCTGTTTGCCCTGCTTGACATGGTACAGCCATCCCCTCAGCCTTCTGGACGGCAACACTAAAGCCAGGAGAGACACACACACACACACACACACACACACACGTTCCAGCTTAAGTGCTAATGCCAAGTGTTAGATCTTGTTTGTTTGTTTGTTTGTTTGAAATCAGAGACTAATTAATGTCAGCGAATCTGTTGAAAGATTGCCGAGCCCTGGTCGGTTTCCAGTGACCAGATCACTTCCGTATCTGAAATTGGTCTTGTTAGAATTGCTGCCAAAAACAGTTTAACCTTTTATCTGTAACATGTTGTTTCAAAGAGGAATCTGGAAGGCTGGGTTTGGCTGTCTTTTTCTGTTGTTGTTCTCTTATCTTTGAAACATATGCATTCCATTTCAAGCCTGTCGCTGTATGATATACCAAGGACCATGTGTTGCCTGCCTCTCTGACTTCCTGTTCTGGGAATGCTCTGGAATCTGGATCCTGCTGGGGAATGGGCCCCGTGGGAGGGAGAAAAGGAGGCGGAGGGGAAGCAGGATCATAACCAGAGAAGATGGTGACATGTCTCTGGGGCATATAGAGGAAATCAGATGTCTCCAGGGAAAAAGAGGCTGTTGTTAGACTAATGTTTTGTATATATGTGCACGTTTAAATCTCTGGGGGAAAACTCACTGCAAATTCAGAATCTCACTGTAGGGTACTGGCTTCTGAGTAGATAGAAGTTTGAAAATAAATGTCTGGCAAATGACTCACAGCACACCTGCTCCCTCATCCAATCCTACCCAACCCACATGCAATAAGCTGTTGCTGTCCTGCAGCGGAAGCTCAAGAAACTTGTCCTTCATTCGCAATCCAGATATTCCACAGGTAGAGGTAACAGTGTCACATAGCACCACACACTTCCGACAGTCATGATACCTAGACCCCTCTGCGGTTTAACCTCAACTGGTTAGGCTAAGAAACTAACATCCTTTGGGGGCATTAGTCCCAAGAGTCTTGCCTGTTGCTGGAGTCTCACAAAGCCATTCCAGTTCCCTCATAACTCAACTGCTCGATCCTTGGCCTCGTGGGGGCAAAGTCTTGAGGATGTGGTAGAGAAAATTTAAGCGAAGGGGGGGCCTGTGGACTAAGGGCTTTGCAACAAAACTGTAGTCATTTTCAACTCTTTTTGTTGCTCTCTATCAGAATAAAATGTTTTAATGGTATTGCTTCTGGAAAAAATGTTATAAACAAGATGTGTTTGGACTAGATTTCTAAGCATTGCACAGGAATAGAAAGTGAACACATTCCTTCCATCTTCTCTGGTGGACTGTGTTTCCTGCCATAACATGAGGGTTTGGATGGGGCATGAAAGGGGGGAGTGGACATTGCACATTCAAGCCACCCATGCGGGTGCAGCCCATCAGGGCAGCCCTTGCCTGGAAGTCTGTCATTTCATCATGCCACACTCAGAGCCCTGCTGATGGATGGATGGAGAAAGCCCTGCAGTTGGGCTTTGCCAAGATCATCTGGAAAGCCCTAGGGCTGCCAGCAGCCTCCTGCCTTTTAAAAGGGGGCCTACAGTGTCGAGAGCAGCCAGACACTTCAATGCTGCTGCAGCCTGTCCCCCTGAACCCAGCTACCTTATAACTGGGCTGAGATTAGAGCATCTGGGGCATTGGGGCTGTGGGTACACCCCTTGAGGGCTCTGAGGGGAGGGGCACCCTTTATTGAGAACACATGTTGAAATATGTTCATGGTTCTCTGCATTTAGTGTGGAAAACCACAGAAACTCCCAGTCTTGAGGCTTGCCAAGATACAGGCTTCAGAAGGGAGGTGTGGGCATTGCCTGCTGCTGAGTCACCCTGGGGCAAGAGGAGACCTACCCCACCAATAGGCTACAGTAGGGGCTGGAACCACCCAGCCTGAGGAAGATGAGGCTCCGATCGCCCATCCGCACCCTAGTCCCATTGAGTCCTGATTGCCACTTTGATGGCAGAATGTTTCTAGTATGTTGGGGTTCACTGGATCTTAGCAGTCCTTTTACAGAGGAGAACCGAAGGTGGCTAGGAGTGACCTGACCAGGTTCCCTGGGCTGACTGATAGCAAAGCCAATACTGGAATTGAGGTCTACACCCTCCACCTCCATAATTCTCTTATCTTGAACTGAAGTTATAGGTGCCTCTAAAGGTGCTAGTGGTTGGGCTGAGAAACGCTAGGACCCTAGCGCAGGGGCGGGTAACATCAGGCTCAACGGATTGAGGTCCTTTGTGCTCCAGAATTGTTTGTGACAACTGTGACTAAGGGATTTGAGGAAGTGGCAGAAAGATTTATAGCCCTCCAACTCACGCCCTGGATGTTGACCCAGGAACAGGTGTGTGGTGACAGGGGCACACAAAGCCAGAGACAAGGCTGAACAGGCGGCAGGGCCATTTGGTGAAGCAGTCAGCTGACCCCACGTAAAAGAAGCCCTGACTCACTGAGGAGTGGGAGAGAGAACTTGGGAGCCGAGCAGGCAGCCCACCCTACCACCGTGGCATGATGGCAGGGGAGAGCCCAGGGCCCGGGACCTGGTAAGCACGCTTAAGGATATGGAGGCTCGTGCTGGGAGAAGCAGAGGACCCAGTAGTGGGGAGAGTGAGCTGGAGAGAGGTTCCTGAGGGTGGGGGAGGAGACCCTGGGAAAGTAGGCGGGCCTGGCAGGATGCCCTTGTAGTGGTTCTGGTAGAGGTGATAGGGCTGGGAGGGATGAGCTGGGTGGGGGAGGTGCCACACCACACCTTTTACCCCATAGTCATTGTCCAAACCAGTGCCCCCCCCCCCTCCCCCACCCGCCCTGCTCATTTCCTTGGGGATCTTGGATGGAGATAAGACTGTGTTCTGAATTCCTGATCACTCTCTTGGTCCCTAGTACCTCCGTTTTGAGGGCTCGTCCCACTTTCCCCCCTCCTATCTTTTCCCTCCTTCCATCTTTCCCACTGATTACTTGCCAGAGCCCCTTATTCCAGGAAAACTGAAGGCACCCACACCTTTGGGCAGGTATAAGTGGTCCCTTATTCCGAGACCACAAGTGAAGATGTCCACCTTTTTCTTTGGGTGTTGGTGCGGGCATGCGGTCCTTTATCTCAGGACAGTGTTGAGATGGAACTGGGTGTGTGAAGGTTTATTCCCATTTTGTTGCTTCCCCTCCGTCCCTCTCCCAAGTACAGTGCACATCAGCCCAGTCTTAGAAGTATGTGTTGAAGCCGGAAAAGAAGTCACAGGAGACAAAACTTTTTGGTGCGCCTCCACCGCCCCGCAGGGTCCTGGGACACTGTGCGAGACAGGGGAGGTACTTTTTTTAATTTTTTTGTAGAGGCGGTCCCTGTCCTCCAGGAGCTTACAATCTAGCCGGGGAGACACAACTAATGCACACTTATACAATCATTACAATTAGCAATTACCACAATATTGACCACAATTGCGTGAGACCTGGGGGATGCAAGATCAGTGAGGGGTTGGGGGCTTGGAGAAGGTGTTTTGGTAAAGATGGGATTCGTTTTCTTGTTCAGTAGGTCCAAATTGAGTGACACATTTCTTTTGGGTGGGAGTGGGGCGAAAGAGGAACTGAGGGAGCAAAGGCAGCAAGGCTGGAATGCACATGCTGTAGGCAAGGGACAGTGAGAGGGCCCCGCTCTGTTTCTTAACCCTCCTCCCTCACCCTCTGCCCTCCAGCCCCGCCACACAGGCACGCAGTTGTCACTTGTCTGCTGCACGGAGATTCAGGGCTTCGGCTGGTGAAGTTGGAATGTCCATTCTGCTGGCTGGTGTGGTTGTCTGGATCTCTGTGGTGCGGCCTGCTGGCATGGCCGTGGCTGTGGGGCTGGGATGGTGCTGTCCCGATTTGGTCCAGATCTGAATGCGTTGCCTGTGCCCAGATCTCAGGGGTCTGCTCCCCCCATTCCCCCCTCCTCCCTCTACCGCCACCCGCAGTAGGATGGGTGCAAAGGGGTGGGGAAGGGATCTGGTGTTGTCGTCATTGTCGGTGCTGCTTCTCCGGGAGCCTACCGGCCCCTCACTGACCTTGGCAAGTGCTCCTCTGGCGAGAGGGCACAGGGGACGCCCCATTCCTGCGCGGCACTGGCTCCCATGCTGGTGGAACTGCACAGGAGCACCTGGTGACAGGGCCGCCCAGGGGAGGGGGCTGGAGCCTCAGTTGGGGGCCCGCTGGCGGCGCTCTCCCAGCACCTGCCGTCCGGTTCTCGACACGGTGTACGCCAGCTTCTGCAGGGAGTACCTGAACACCTGTGGAGAGAGAGAGAGACCCAGGACCTGCCCTTAGAGGCGAGCACCCGCAGCGTGTCTGTAGTGCTGCCGTGCCCGCCCCCGCCCCGCCCCCTGCCCCGCCCGCCTGTCCAATGAGGAGAGGCGGGTGCGGGCGCAGCTTGTCCACGAGTCAGGGCAGCTGGAGCTTTTCCAACTGTGCTGAAGGCTGCATGGCCGCAAGCTGATTGGACCCACAACTTAGGTATACCTCACTTCTCGCAATGGGCTGTGTCCCTGGAGGATTTCGAAAAGCGAATCCTACCCAGTAAATGCAGCATTCCAGGAACACCTTGAAGGAAATATGCGATTCCTTTGGCAAAGGATTCCTTTAGCAGGGAATTCTTCCTGCAAGGGGTGCTTTTAGGGTAGATGATTTTATGGGCAAAGCAATTTCTTCTGATTTATTTCTTTTTACACAAAGCGCTTTGCCTCTATTTGATTTTTTTTTTTTAATAAAGCGAACTGTCCTTTTTCGGAAGCGCTTTTTTTCTGTTCTATTTTTCCTGCAAAGAACCTTTTCCTCTAATTGTTTTCTTCAAAGCGCTCTTATCGATTCATAGTTTGTTAGCTCCTTTGTCTAATATTTTTTCTGCAAGGCGCTTTTTATCTAATGCATTTTTTTCTGCCAAGTGCTTTTGTCTGATTTATTCTTCCTGCAATGCGCATTTTCTCTAATTCATTTTTTCCCGCGAATTTTTCTGATTTGTTATAATCTTGTTTGCGAAGTGCTGTTTTTGTTTTTCCCCTGAGAAGTGCCTTTTTCTAACTTATTTTTTGTCCCACCCCCGCAAGTACTATATTTTCTAAAGGAAAATTTCCCCGCAATGCGCAATTTTTTTAAGGCGGAAAAATTCCGCTGTGTGAGCGGTAAAGTCTCTTTTCGCAAAACAGAAGTGCCCCGCCTCCCTCCTGGGGTCGAGTCTCACGTAGCGGTATTTTCTTACCACGTTGGTCGCTAAGAGCCTCGGCGATCGTCCGCGGCTGGCGCCCGCCGCGCCCCAACTCTTTGTTCCCAGGCGGGCGCATTGGGAAGGGTCTACGCGAGGAGGAGGGCGCAGGGGACGGGCGGGGGCGTGCGGTGCCGGCCGCGGCACTTGGGTGGGCAGGGATCGCGGCAATCAGGACAGGACGGGTCGGGATGCGGCAATTGTGACGCGGGCTTGCCGGTTCAGGGGGCGCACATCGCGACCCTCTCCCACCCAGCACCCGGGCACACTTACCTGCAGCAGCACGCGGAAAATGTACCAGCCGATGATGAGCAGTTCAGCCGAGGCTGCTGCCACTGCTGCCATGGTTCCGAGAGTGGTGGGTGGGTGGTTGAGAGCGAGTGCTGCCGGTTCCGAGGTCCGTTCGCCTCTCGGAGTCCGCTGTTGGGCGCACTGCCGCAGCCGCGGTGGCCGCGCCTTAAGTATCCGCCCACCGCCCAAGTGCGCATGCGCGCTTGGGGGGGGGTCCGTGAGGAGGGGTGGCCGGGGGCGCTCCTCATTCGTCAGGAGAGGAAAAAAAATAATCCATCTGTTCTTTCCACACCGACCCCCGCCTCCTGAGTTCATCTTAGCCCCTTTCCAGAAGATTCCGCTGTGCCCGCGTTTGAATTTTAATGTAAAATGGAGGGGAAATGCAACTCTGAGTTAGCGCATAGGGTAAGAGTACTGGTGCGCACCCCTTAGTAGCGGAGCCCATCTCTCCAAGCCCGGGCCTGCAAATTCGAGCCCAGTGTCCGGTGCCACGCCAGATCACACCTGGGCAAGGATGGAAAAGCAGAGGGACCTAATTTAGAGAGGGATCATCTGCCCCGCGGAGCAAAAACAGGTGCCCCTTCCAGAAGCCTTGGCTTCACAGGCCCCCCCGCTCAGCACTCTTTTTCTAATATTCGTTGTATTAGAAGACCACGTCCTCTGCTTTGCGAGAGCCTCTGAGCGCGGAACCTTTCCCTGATGCCCGCATCCCGCTTCTTACGGTTGCTAGATCTACAGCGGTGGCAGCTGTAGGGAGCCGAGCCAGGGCACTGAGCCCTAGATGCAAAAGCGATAGTCATCGGGTGTCTACCCTGTAGGAGGGATGGCGCCTTTGTATGCACGGAAGGGATGGGATGAGCTCTCCAAAGAAGTGGTCTGAATGCGCTCTGGGATAGTTTTCTGCTAGGCGGGTAATTCAACCTCTGCTCCCCTACCCCCCAGGCGCTGGTAGGTCTTCCTCAGCCAGCGAGGTTCTTTGTACCCGTTGCGCTGGGCGTCTGGAGCTTGGAGGAGGGTTTTGCTACCGCCGCCAGAGGGTCGTGGCTGCTGCCGCTCCGATTCTTGGCGCGGCACGAAGACCGGAATGCGGTCTGCGAGCGCGGCCCTGGCGCACCGGTGGCCCGCTGCTCGAGAGCACCACTTCTCTCCAGCAAACTGCCTGGCACAGGGGCCAACTGGCATTTGCCCCTATGTGAATAGAAAATTAATTTTGATTAAAAGCTCATAGAAGTCAAGTTCTATACAGTGCCGGCAGCAGATGGAGAGCACAAGGCAACCCAGAGAGGTCAGTTTGGACTAAGTAGCATGGTGATTTTTTTCCCTCTACATTGACTTTCGAAGAAGTTGGCCGATTTTAATAAAATGACGCCGGATTATTTGAAAAAGGCAAGCTCATTCTAGGCTGCCATCTTAAAACAAAATATTCGGTGATGCTGCCGCGGCACCTTCCCAGAGCTTGCAAGGATCCATTGCCGGCAATCTCCCGCCGGCAGTGCGCCACTAACTACTTTAACTCTCCACTGAGCACCTGCTGTGAGAGATACTAGATACAGAATCCTTTTCTTATTCCTCAGGGGTCACAGCATGGAGCCCATGGCCGTCTGGTGGCAACCACAGGGCGGTATTGTGAGGTCTGGGTCCCTTGAGGACGGGCCGCAGCCCCAGGAGGCGATACATGATCTCTGCTGGGCAGGGCCCAGGCAAAGCCAGGCCACTGTGCGGGACCTGCCTAGAGCCCTCTGGCCTAGCCCCAAGAAGGGGAGACACCCAGGATGCTTCTGGAAAGGGTGACTTGGAGAGGAGTAGACTTCCATGGGTGGGCAGGGAGGAAGGGGCATTCACATTTGCTGTTGTTAACCATGATCCATTTTTCCAAATAAGTATACATTCTGTTCCTGTTTTTTTTTTTTTTTTTTTTTTTTGTCTGTCTGTCTGTTTCGTGTCTGTTTGTCTGTTGTGTTGACTTTTCTCTTCAGGATCCCTGCTGCCTTGGTGATCCCGGGCTGACAGCCAGAGACCACAGCGGCTCAGCTCCTGGAGAGCGAGGGTTGAAGAAAGCAGAGGGCAGCCGCCCGCGCCCGCTGGCTCCCATTAGGTCGGTTCCTGCAGCGGTGCCCGGTGGCCTTGGCGAAGGCCCTGTCCAGCAGAGATCATGTATTGCCTCCAGTGGCTGCTGCCCGTCCTCCTCATCCCCAAGCCCCTCAACCCCGCCCTGTGGTTCAGCCACTCCATGTTCATGGGCTTCTACCTGCTCAGCTTCCTCCTGGAACGGAAGCCTTGCACAATTTGTGCCTTGGTTTTCCTGGCAGCCCTGTTCCTCATCTGCTATAGCTGCTGGGGAAACTGTTTCCTGTACCACTGCTCCGATTCCCCGCTTCCGGAATCGGCACACGACCCCGGCGTTGTGGGCACCTAACAGCCAGCCCAGTTAGCTTTCCAAGGAAGCAGAAGACGGGAGGGGAGGCATTGACATAGGTCATAAAGCATTGGAGTTTCAAATCCCGCGGCCCTGTGGGGGCCACATTCCTGATGGCGCCTTTCTGGCCTGTGACGTTTTATCCTTATAATGTGAATAATAGCACTGACCGGTGCTTTTATCGTAGAGTCCTGTAGTCGTGGGTGGTCTCGTGGTTGTGTGTGTTCTGTCCCCATCTTGGACCCTGACTGGCAGGATGGCCACCCCCCTCGCCTCATTCCCACGAGGAGCCTGCACCCATCCTGGTCAACTGCCCCAGCATGATCCGGGCAGATAAAATGCCAGTCTCATTGTCACCTCTGTGACCCTTCCTTGTCAGAGTGTTACTGACTCCTCCGTCCCTCTCTTGGCTTCCTGTTAGTTCTCCTTAGCCCTTTCCTTTTTTGGGGAGCACCTGTCCAAGACAGGGCTCAGTTCTGCACTTATCTCGAATATAAAGAGATTGCTGATGCCCGAGAGCCTCGCTTTTTCATTCTTCTTCCCTGGCCGGCGGGCTAGACAGAATTGTGTCTTGACTGCTGTCCACAAATCTTCAGTATTTTCCCCACGTCATTTTGAAGGAAGAAGTAACAGATACATGTTGCTCTTTCACCTGGGGGTCTGGGCTCCTGCTCAGCAGCCCAGCTTCGTTTCCTCTGCCCTTCCTCCTGCCTGTCTCAACTGTCGCAAGGAGGGGGCCTCATTTTGTCTCCCATGCATGCTCTGCAGGATTGATGTGTGGTGTGTTTACGTAGATCTAGCAGTCCCCAGCCGAGTGAATGGGAGAGTACTTGTGTGTTGCATAACAGCCACGATCCCCTGATAGGTGTTTGGATATTTTTTGGTGTGGTGTGCCGTGCGTGCGCGTGTGTGTATACGTACGTGTACAAGTACATGTGTAAATCCTTTTTAAAGAAGCTTTATCGAACGTGTTGTGATTTTGAGGTGTAGCAATAGCTAGCTTGTAGGGGCCGCTACAGTTGGTATTTAGTATGGGGATTGCAGAGTGACCAGCACACTGGACTCCGAGGTGGTTCAGACGAGACAGAGGGGAGCGGTGGCCATCGTCCTCATGCCAGGAGCTTCTCCGGTCCTGCGCGTATAGACTGTATACGTTACGAAGAATACACGGGAAGACTTTGTGACTGTCACTTGCTTTTTTCTTTTTCTGCGCTTCAGTAAAAGTGTTGGCACATGACACTGTCTCCTGGCCCCTGCCCGCTGGGGATCAGCATGGTTGTCCTTCCAGTCTAAACCATCCATCTTTCTCTTGGCTGAAGGGGGAGGGAGGTGGGCCAGGCAGAGGACAGAACTGGAGGCAGTCCATCTAGGGGACGGGACTGCGGGGCCACACTTGTGGAACATTTGGACTGCTATTCTGGAGCTTTTATTTCTGGTGTGTTCGTTGCACAGCTGTTTGAAATGTTTAATAAAGCTTTATAAACTTTCCTCTGTGGTTTTATGTGGCTGCAGTCCCTGTGGGTCGTGGTGTTGGATTTCTGAGTTGGTGGGGGGCAGCGGGTAGCATGGAGGGGCTGAGGCCTTGGCGCCACAGTACCTTAGGCTGAAAATTTGATCTGCTCTCTGGAGAGCAGATGGTGGGATTGGGGGCGGGGGAGCAGGGGGCAGGCCAGGCGGTGAACAGGAGGGAGTCTGAAAGTTTTCAGAGATGAGACATTTGCGTTTCTCAGCTCCCATGGCTTCTCGCCTGAAACTGTTTCCCTCCGTAGGAGATTTGAGTAACCGATCCCTTGACAAACAACTTAAGACAGCTGGAGCTCTAATCATCAAGAATTTTTATGGTGCTGCTTTTGAAGTAAAAATAAAGTGAAACCCCTTATGGCATTTCAAGTGGAAAAATAAATAAGGTTGGCCGTCCACGTAGGGGGCTCCGGGCGATGGCTGGAAGTGCGGGAGTGGCGTGGTTCTGTGCCGTCAATGTGCACGTGCTCCCATGGCCGTGACCTTTGAGACAAAGCTGGGTGGCTTGCCAGGGCCCTGTGCTGGGTGTCCACCTCTCCATCTCTTCTCCTTCTAGAAAACATAACAGGAACACTGCCTGTCCAAGGCACAGGGCTGTTGTCAGAGTTTATTGTTGTAAAAGGGCTTGGGTGGTTTCATAAAAGGTCATCTGTTATACCTAGATTGGTAATTTATTGCTATGAAGTTTTGTGTAGTTTTCTCCTGCCCTTTGCAATCTCCGCATCGTCAGTGTATCCCTTTTTTCATTCCCACCATCGCCTATCAGTGCTTTTCCTTTTTTCGTCAAAACTTGCCAAAGGTTTGTTCATTTTGAAGGTGTTTTCAGAGAACCAAGCTTACTGATTATGTCTGCTGGGTATTTTCCCTATCTGATGCTTTTGTGTTTTTACCTCTGCATTCTTTTGTTTCCTGCGTTTCTGGATGTATTTTGTGGTTCAGCAAAGTCTTGACAAGTTGAGGAGTGTTACACGTGGAAAGGATGGTTTGTTCAGCAAACATTGAGCCCCTGTACTGGGCTTGCTGGGGATTTCAGGGGTAAGACCCAGGCCTGACTCTCCAGGAGCGCATGACTCTAGCCTAGTGGGAAGACTTAAGAAAATAGACACCTGCAAATTCCAGACACAAAACAAACAAACAAGGCTTTTGTGGCCACGCTCTCCTGTGGAGGCACCTGGATGATAAATGAAGCCAAGATTATTGCTTGCTTTGCTCTCCCTCAGAAAGCCGCTTTCTGTCATAGGTCAAGCTCGCTAAAGAGTCACAAACAGGCCTCCCTCTGAAAGATTTGTGGCCCTTTGCAGCAGGGAGCCTGCAGCCCACCCTTTCCAAGGTGATGCCACATCAGCGTTCTGTCTGCCCAGCACTGCTCTCCACCTGCCAAGGCAGCACCAGCAGCACCCTGCCCCCTCTGCCTGAAATGCCTTTCAGGAAAATGAGAAGTGGATACCTCTTCTGGAAAAGAGCAGGGTACCAGGTCTTAGAAAACCACACCCTGCAATTCTGCCAGTCGCCGCGGCTCCTAGTGTTGCTCGTGTGGTACCTGGTAACCACAAGATCCCATGAGGCCTAGGTCTGGGCTTCTTTAGGAACTGGTCTGTGCCCTGCTCTGCGCCTCAGTTTCCTTGTAGGTAAGATGTGGGCTTTGGAGCAAACACAGTCTTCCTACCCCTAATATACTGGGAATCCTTTCTCCGAGGATCTTCGGGTCCTCCTGGATGCATTTGAGGGAAGGTGATTGAGCTCTGGGAAGGTGGCACTGCCCTTGCAGGGCAGCCTGCATATGCCTTATGCTTTAATGATTGTACCACATGCGCCTAGATATGCCTCTGTCAGGAAGCCTTCCTGGACTCTTCCCTCTCCCTAGAGATCCAGTTGCCTAGATGACTTCACCCAGCCCTCTGTTGAGTGCTAGTGGTCATGCAGACTTTCTCTTTCGCAGTGATTGGGCTCCCCTGACCTCCCTAGGGGGCTTGCATTGTTATTTAATCTGAGGTACTTGTCAGAATCCTGTACAGGACCAGGCCTTGGGGTCACACAGTGGACAGGGTGGACCATCTCTGCCATCAGGGAGTCATCCAAGCTAATGGGAAAGGGGATGACCTTGGGCAGAAAATCCCACAGATAGATATAATATGGACTGTGGCAGGTGCCCTAAGAGCAGTCTAGGGGGCACCTGGTGTGGGCTGGGGAGGATTGATGTTCAGGCTGAGACCTGAGGACGAGTGTAAATGTTGGAGCAGTGAAATAACAAATGAGATGTTATTTCTCACCATCTAATCAAGCATCTCTGCTTACAGCTGAAGAGACTGGGCTGAAAGCAAAATGAAGGACCACCAGTATCTGGCTGCCCTGGAGGGCTGTATTGGGAGATAGTAAGGGGGGTTGAAGGTTGACGTGTTGGTGGCGGTCCCCCAAACCCAGTCCTGAGTGAGAAGTCTTCAGTTTCCAACTGACTGGAACCATCACAGACAAGGATCTGATGGGAGTAGGGGGTGACCCAATCAGAACAGCATTTAATTTAAGGTGGGATTTTTTTCAGTAGGGAACAGGATAGCATTTGAGCAGTAACAGCAGCAGGACTGTCAAGAAGGTCACTGCCCTGTCTAGATCATTGGGAATGGGGAGAAGTAGATCCAAGGAGCCATGGTGGGTGAGGAAGGGAAGGCAGGAGAAAGAGCGGGCTGGGGAGGAGGACAGAGAAAGATGAGAGACTCCCATTGAATAGCTGCAGGAAGTGAGGTCAGGGAGGGGTCATCCCTTGTGTTCAGTTGGCTGCGGGAGCCAGAACCCAGTCTCCTGGCGTCTATTGCAAAGCTCACCCCTCATCTCCCAGCCCCCTAAAGGGAGAAAGGGTCACTGCTCTGAAAAGAGGGAGGAACTAAGCAGTGCTGTCCTCAGCAAGCCAGGGAAGGTGATCCTGACTAAAAGCCAGAAGAGGGGCAGAGTTTGGTCTGCCAGGCTTCAGGGAGAGAATTCCACATCGCGAGAAAAACTTTGATTAGAGCGGGCTCAAGATGAAGGGGAGGAGCTGGCCGAGCAGCAGCTGGAGGCTTCAGACAGAAGCCCTGGGTCTCCCTCTCCGGCTCAGTGGGCGGGGACTTGGGGAACACTTTAGGACCGACAAACCTTGAGCGACAAGGTTTCAGGGAGCCCGGGCCCTATGCCCCCACCTCTTTGACCACACGTCCCTGAGCCTCAGTTTCCTCACTGGCAAAATAGAGATGGTAACACCCCCTGTAGCCTGGCTCAAGGCCAAGTCTTCACAAATGTTACTGCCTCTCTTCTCTGCCCTACCACCCTCCACCGACCCTTACTGGGCTCAGGCTTCATAGGGATGTGGTATGATCGTCCAGCTCTCCCGCTCATTCATTCCTGCAGGGAGCATTGCCAGGCCCTGCGCCCAGCCCAGAACCTGATAAGACCATGCCCTCCGTGAGGAGCTCCTGCGGCAGCAGCGGGGAGGGCATCGAGGCAGTCCTGCAGGCACATGATCACTGTGCTGTGTCATTGGGGCCGTGTGGAGTTAGGGAGAGACCTCATTTGCGAGGCCGGATGTCAGCACCTCAACATGAATTCCCTTAATTATTTTTTACAAGCCCCGAAATGACAAGATCCTAAAAGGGAAAGGAACACCTAGACGGTGCTCTTTCCTGAGAGGCCAGAACCCTGGCTTTGCATCCCTGCTTGGCCACCAGCTCGCCTAGGACCGTCCATGGATTTTTCCCTCTTGGAAAGAAATCACTGCCCATTCGGCCTCCTCCTCATGAGGAACTGGTGCGGGGATGTTTGAGAGTGCCCTGTCAGATACGGGGTAAGCACGAACCTTCTCCACAGACTAACCCTTTGAGCGGTTCTGGCCTCTCACCTCTTTTCCTGGACAACCTGTGGAGAGTCTACAGGGGGACGCCTCACTGCTTCTTCCGAAGCTAAACTCTGCCGATCCCCGCCCCACACTGCTAGTGGCCGCCCTCTAGGGCAGGGCGGGGAGCTGAGCCCTGGGCCTGATCCCCACCCCCTTGCCACGTGACCTTGCTCTCCTCTGCTCATTCTTCTCCAGGCACCGCCCCCCAACGCCCATCTGTTCACCTAGGAGGGGTTGGCCCAGGAAGTCTTTAACGTTCGAAAGCCATCTTCTGTGAAATATCAGTGAACTTTATCCTTGTTACTTCAGTCTTAAAGGTATTGGTTGAAAGAAAGTATGTTAAGACAAGCAAGCATTTAATCAAAGGGTTTTTTGCATTAAAGAATAAACTTTACATCTCTGGGGTGCAGAAGTGTCAAGAATCTTAGAGTCAAAGCAGACTCGGGAGGGTCTCTGAGGGAGGAAGACAAACATAACCCTTCCTTGGTTCCCTGTTGCTTGTGGTCCTGACTCAGCTTGGCTGTCAAAGCCCTGAACCACCCTTGAGGGTGGGGGCTTGATCTTTGTCCCTTGACCAGGCACAGCACCTGTCTGACCAGGCCTGGATAGAACCTGCTGGTTGGCTGGCCAGGGCCGTGGATGGCTGGAAGGCTCAGTCAATCTCCAGACCCCCTAAGGAGCTGAGTGGCCCTCACTCTCCTAGAAGTGAGGGAATTCAATGTGCCTCCCAAGGCTCCTCTTGGCAACTCTGAAGTGGCAGTATTTTCCAGCCTCTAGGGTCATATTTTACACACAGATATCACAGACACTAACATGTCACAAAAGATACGTGAGAAGAACCTTGTAAAAGGCTCTATAGCCTGGTATCCTTCCTGTGGCAACAGGTGGCTGTGAATCACCTCCCCTCCCTGGGCCTCAGTTTCCCCATGTGTAAAATGAAGCAGTTGGACTAGATAATCCTTGAGTTCCTTTCTAGCTCTAGCATCACCCTCAGATGCCCTGGTACCCAGAACAGTAATTGGACAAGGGGCATGGTGACCCCAGGATCTGGGTCAGTCCACATCTTGGAGCATGGCGGAACCGATGGCTGCAGCCCCCTGGAAGCTGAACGTGGCAGGAACTGGCTGAGAGATTTTTTTGCTGATGGTGAAATGTCCTGGCAGAGTCTATGCAGGTAGGTTGATACAGGTGAGGGGAGGGGTTGGGCTGTCCCTCCCTTGTGGTCCCCAAGTAACATATCCTTGCAGAGTCAGAAGCTTCCAGGACTGTTTGCTGGGTGCCAGCTAGATTCAGCCACTCATATTGGCAAAGTGGGTGAACCGTCTTTCCGCACACTGTCCTGGCAGGGCTTGCAGAAAGACTTTCTGCTGCCACCCTTAAATGCTTCCCTGCAATTCATCGTTATTGTGTCTAGAATCATACCTTCCTATAGCCTTTTGGTTCCCTGTCCAGGTGGCATATTCTCTGAGGATGTTGTGGTCCTGATGCCATAATCAGCCAGGAATAACTTAGCTCAGTGTCAGAGCCACAAGGGGAAGACTTGTCCAAAGTTGGAACTCTGACTATTGAAAGAAAAATAATAATCCATTTTCAACCTCACCTCAGAGCACACCCCCAAATTCAAAAACTTTTGATCAGAAAGGAGACATAAACCCATTAAAAACCAGAGAGAAAAAAAAAAAAAAACAGAGAGAAAAGGAATTGGATATTTAAAGTGTCTGAAAGGGGGAGCCCCTCTAAGCTAAAAAGCAACAAAATGCAAGAAGGCAAAGACCGACCAATTTGAATACATCAAAACTAAGTATTTCCAAAGTCAAACAATATCACAAGCAGAACCAAAAGGCAGAGTGGGTAAACTGTTTGCAGATCCATACTGTGTAGAAGATCACACGCAAAAGCTTAACAGTGAAAATGCAACAGATAGGTATGTAATTCATGTAAACAGCTCACAGAAGAGGAAATAGAACTGACAAAATTTTTTGAAAAAATATTCAATTTCACTAATAACAGAAGATCAAAGATAAAAAACAAAAAAGAAGCACTAGTTTTCACCAACAAATTAGGGGAAAAATGTTTAAGAATACTCAATGCTGATGAGGATACAGTGGAAGAGGCACTAGGTGCGAAGGGGAGTGTGAATTGGTGTAAGTTTTTGGAAAGTAATATGATAGTCAAAGAGAGGAGAGAGATGAAAGTTTCAAGAAAGGGCAAATGGCCTATATATTTATACAACATTTATTGAGTGTCTACTTTGTG